TGAGAGACGAAACGTTTCTACATTTTTTTGTTGATTTGCTTTGTTTTTTTGGGGTTTTTTTTTTGAATGTCCAGAGGACCAGATTTAACTTTTTTAGATTTTTCTACCTGGATTATTGAGCATGCATCAGGATATTTTTGTCAGAGATTATCATAGTGCAAAAACTAAAACGTTCAAATTAAATAGCAAAACTATGCATTACAAGTAAAAATATTACTATTGTTATAATGTTGCGATTATAGTAACTTTGTTGTCAGGGGATCAAACATTGAAGATCAGAATGACAAATAGGCAGGGGAAAAAAGGAAAACCACCAAAAACATTTAAAACTTTTTTTTTTTTTTTTGGTGAAGCCTTGGTTAGCACCGTTTCCTTACAGTAAAACGGTCACTTGTTCACAACCCAGCTTGGGCATCTTGGTTTAGGGTTTGCCCCTTGTCCGCATGCATGCATGAGCTTTCTCAGGGTGTTCTGGTTTTTTTTTTTCCACTGATTAAAAATTCATGCTGGGTTAAGTGATAACTCTAGAAACTCAAGATCCACATGACAAATCTGGTCCCCCAAGATGATAATTTAAATGTAAAATATTGTATCTCTTCTATTTTTTCTTTACAAAACTGATCAATACATAATTTTGCATAGATTTCTCTTATCAGCTGGCTGTCTTTGAAGCCAGAAAAAAGATTGGATCATTCTGTCATTATTGATTCAGATGTGGAAAAAGCAATAGAACATCAAATGAGACAGATCAAACTCTTGTTCATGAACCTGCAACCAAGTAAAGATATCAGGTATCTGACTCGAGGTGATGTTTCAGCTGAAATTGGCCTGTGGCTCGGACAATGGTTTTAAAATGTTCCTCCTTTTGGTAACTGAGTTTGACACCCCTACATCATGTTATGAATGGGAGTGTGAATGGTTGTCTGTCTTGTTTGTCTCACTCTGTCCCTGTGATGGACTGGTGACTTGTCTCACCCAGTGATCCACAATAGATAAATGGTTTTATCTTCTATTTTATCTTTGCCAAAACAAATTTTAATTAAACAAAACTATGTATAAAATGGCTAAAACAGCTCAATTTCTCACTAAACATGAAAACAGTCTTAAACTCTGCATTTGCTTTATTTTTTTTGTTGTCGACCTGTCTAATTTATTCTCTTTGATTTTCTTATCTTCCTCTTATTTCCAGATGTTTCTAGTAGCTTTGTCCTTTGCCTATTTTGCAAAGGCTCTGTCGGGGAGCTACATGAAGAGCACAATAACTCAGTTGGAGCGACGCTTTGACATCCCCAGTTACCTAATAGGAGTCATTGATGGGAGCTTTGAGATAGGTGAGTGGGCCTGCCAGTTACTGGGGCTTTTTAGCTTTGTCTGTTACTTCATGTGTTCTCCCTCTTTTTTTCATTTGTTTTTTTCCATCTTTTTAGTAAAAAGAAAACATGAATGGGTCAATGAGATATTCAGGCTGCAGATAAAGGATTTATTAGGCTTCTGAGAAGACAGAGGTGTGTGTGTGTGTGTGTGTGTGTGTGTGTGTGTGTGTGTGTGTGTG